TACCGCTTCTGCCGTGTTTTGGTGCAAGATTCCCTTGTAAAGTATCCAACCCCCAAAAAGTGCGCCCTTATTACAATATGGTTTCTGGGCTACCAAGGTTTAAGGGTTGAAGCGTGAAAGGGTTCCTAAGCCCTAAACCCTAAGCCCTAAACCCTAAGCCCTAAGCCCTAAGCCCTAAGCCCTAAACCCTAAACCCTACAAATTATAAAGAGTTTATAAGGGCTTTGGTGGCTTCGGGTTTGGCGTGGCGTCGCAGGTCCCGTCTGTGGACCCTGCCTTCGCAGAGGTGGAAGAGTGGGAGGGGTGTCCTTGTAGGGGTCCTTTTTAAAGCGGATTCTACTATATTTGAGGTTGAAAAGGGGCCAATTATAGGAAACCCCCTTTTGCCCTATCAGTCCAAATAGTTTGGGGGGTTCAGCGCTCAGGGTGTTTGTAGGGCTAGGGTTTGACGGTTCCTTTTTGTGAGGGGAAGGGCTGGAATATTGGGAGGAGGCGATGAGATCCCGAACTTTAGACCCCCAAACCTTGAAAGCCCTAATCCACAACTTCCTAAACCATAGCCCGATTTCCCAAACCCTAAGCCCCACATCCCTAAACCCTATGCCTCATATCCCTAAACCCTATATAGCGCTAAACAGCCCCAAAGACCCCTCAAAAGCCCTAAAAACAGCCCTAAACCCCTAAAGCCCCAAAACCCTTAGAAACCCTGAAGCCCTGGAGCGTTAAAACACCAAAACTCGATGGCCCCTGCATCTGCGAGGGTGGTGCCTCAACGCTAGACGGACTGGAGGCGGTGGTTTCGGCTGCAAACCGTTCGGGGCTCGAGGGTTTTCGAGTCTTAGGGTGTTTGGGAAGTCTAGGGTTCAGCGTTTAGGGTGTTTGGGCGTTTGAGTTTCTTGGGTTTGGGGGTTTGGAATTTTGGGTTTTAGGGTGTTCGGGGGGTTTGAGGGTGTTCTTGGGATTTAGGGCGCTTGGCGTGCTTGGGGTGTTTAGAGTTTGCGGTGTTTGGTGGCTGTAGGCTTTCGGTTTACGGGTGTCCCCCCTAAAGCCTATATGCCCTGAAGCTATCCAGAGCATCCGTTCGATGTACACAAAATACTACCAAAACCGCACACCTTGAACCACCCAAAATGTCCATCCTAAGTACTCGAACAGAAGCTACGTGCACAGAGTACCCCTAGCCCTGAACTACCCAATGCGCCCATTCTAAGTAACAAAAACTTTTAACTACCCCAAACCCTAAACCCCAAGCCCAACATCCCCCTTATTGGGGGTCCTTACTATAAGGGACCCTACAATTTGGGGGTGTATATGAAGGGTCCCTCTTGTTTCGTACACCCCCATATTCTGAACCCTTAGTTAGTAGTATAAGGGGGAACTGCTCTATACCCTAAACCCTAAACCCTAAACCCTAAACCCTAAACCCTAAACCCTAAACCCTAAACCCTAGACCCTAGACCCTAAACCCTAAACCCAACATCTTCCAACCACATGTCCATTCTGGCCATTCCGCCCCGACAGGCCCGCCAAACGGGATCGAGGCGGAGTCTGCCGCAAGTGCCCCGAAGGGTGTAGGATTTGGGGTTTGGGGTTTAGGGTTTGGGGTTTGGGGTTTAGGGTTTAGAGTTTAGGGACTAATGGACCGATGGCAAACATTAATTCCTTGTGGCCCTGAGTCCTCTTCGTGGGTAGTGGCCAACTTGGCAACAGCAAACGTGATGGCGTCTCCTGCACGTTTTGATGCTCCCAATGGCATACACGTGGGAGGATCTTTGAAGGAGAAGGAAATCAGGATCAAAGACATGTTCTATGCCTATGCTTCGGAGGTTATTCAGAAGATGGGAGTGATCAGATCTCATTCATTCTGCGGGTCCCTCATTGAAGCTCTGTGTCTTTATGATACGCTCGAGCCATTGTTGTCTCGAAACAACTTCTCAAGCTAGACTGCTTATGTCTTGGGTTGATGCAGAAGTACTGCGCGAAACTGCAGTGGTTCCAGCTTGCATCCCTCAAGCCTAAACCCCAAACCCCCTAAACCCCTAAGCCCCTGAACCCCTAAACCCCTAAACCCCTAAGCCCCTAAACCCCTAAACCCCTAAACCCCTAAACCCCTAAACCCCTAAACCCCTAAACCCCTAAACCCCTAAACCCCTAAACCCCTAAACCCTAAACCCCGAAAGCCTGTAACTCCAAACCTTGTCAACCTGATCCTCCCAAGCCCGGGCTTGGCTAGACGGCCAGGCTCCTTTAGAAAGCTCCTTGAAGCCACACAAGGGTGCCTGTTTCGGTTTAGGGTTTAGGGTTTAGGGTTTAGGGCTTAGGGCTTAGGGCTTAGGGTTTAGGGTTTAGGTTTTAGGGTTTAGGGTTTAGGGTTTAGGGTTCATTCTAATTCCTATTCAGGACTCCTTAGTGTAAAGGGTAACCTCCCAAGTCTAAGGGTTTTAGGCTCCAAGTGTTTAGGGCTTCGGGCTGTCAGGAACTCCTCCACCAAGACTACGAGGACCATTGGAGACTGAGTCCTCGTCTGACTCGAAGTCTACACAACCCTAAACCCTTAACCCTAAACCCTAAACCCTATAAACCCTATAAACCCTATAAACCCTATAAACCCTATAAACCCTATAAACCCTATGAACCCTATAAACCCTATAAACCCTATAAACCCTATAAACCCTAAAAGCCCTAAAAACCCTAAAAACCCTGAAAACCCTGAACCCTGAACCCTAAACCCTAAACCCTAAACCCTAAACCCTAAACCCTAAACCCTAAACCCACCCTAAGCCCGTCATCTCCCGGCGCCCGCAACCCTGAACCCTAAAGCCTGAATTTTGCACCCTGCCAGAAGTAGTGTATAACGTCGGGGCCCAACACCTCTTTTTGACCCTGAGCCATTAACCCTATATAAACATCCCCACACTACGTAAAGCCCGAGCCCGTGCTCCGAACGCCTCTCTCCAAGCCTAAACTTAAATCCGAAGCCCTACGTAGCTCCTAAACCCCAAACCCCGCAACTTCACAACGACCCTTCAGCTGCGGCCTAAACCCGAAACCCGCAAAAACTTCAACCCCCTGGCCCCAAGCCCCACAACCACACCACAACAGGGGGGGGGGGGGGTGGGGGGGCTAAACCCCACCGTGATCACATATGCGGATTCTGTAGGATTGAAGGGTTGGGTTGCGTTGGGGATCCACTTCTCCACTCCTCAGGACCTCGTACCTAGACCCGAAACTTTTCCCGGGACAAAGGTTTCAGGACTTTTCAGGAGGCTGTTTTTGAAATTGGGCCCGTGGGCTTAGGGTGGTAGGTGCGGGCGAGGGTTTAGGGTTAAAGACCTACTATCCACTAAGCCCTTCAGAGCCCGAAGCCCTGAAGTCCCCAAAGCGGTAAAAACCAAGCCCCTACAGCCCCAACACCCTGAGCCCTGAGACTCTTCAACGCTGCTTGACTTTTGGGGTTTAGGGCTTAGGGTTTAGGGTTTAGGGTTTAGGGGTTCATGGGTAAACTCAGAAGAAGGGTCTTACTTCAAGGAACGGTAGTTTCAACCCTAGACCTCTCACACGACCCCTCGACTCGAGAGGCAAAACCCCCTAAACCCTAAACCCTAAACCCTAAACCCTAAACCCTAAACCCTAAACCCTAAACCCTAAACCCTAAACCCTAATCAGGATCCTTCAGGCAAGGGCCCTCTCGCCTTCATTTTTTTGCCTCAGGCGCTCTCTCAAAGCGGGGAGTGCTGAAGAGTCTTAGGCACACGTCCCTCGGATGAGCGCCCCAAAAGTGGTTTAGTGTTAAGGGTTTAGGTTTAGGGTTTAGGGTTTAGGGTTGATATCCGAGCCGTCATACCGGGATGCTCCAGAGGTCCTTGGTAAATTAGGGCTCAGGGTTAAGGGTTTCCTGGGGGAGGAATCCCATCGCGCAAAGTACAGCGGTACAACCCCCCAAATTCCACAGAAGCTGCCAAAAGTCCAGAAGGCCCCACCTGAGTTCCCGTTTCTGTGCGGGCTTTTGGACTGCGCAGCCTGTTTCGATCTGCATGCGCCACGGCTGGCAAGGCCGGTTCAAGATGTAGGGGTCGGGTTTCAGGTTTTGGGCTTAGGGCTTAGGGCTTAGGGCATAGGGCTTAGGGCTTAGGGCTTAGGGCTTAGGGCTCAGGGCTTAGGGCTTAGGGCTTAATTAGGGCTTAGGGCTTAGGACTTAATTAGGGCTTATAGGACTTACGGACTTAGGACTTAAGACTTAGAGTGGTTGACCTTGAAACCCTAACCCACCCGAGGCCCAACCCCAATTGAGCATGTTCACGGCTCCTTAAGCCCGGAAGACCCAAACTTGCAGCCCGAAATCTTACCTCCCATTCTAAACCTCAAGTGAAGCAGGGTATATATTTCTCTTTTTGGTGAGTGTACATAAGGTTCCTTTTTAATATTGGTGAGTGTATATACTGGGGGGCTCTTCTCGGGATATAAGACATGTAAACCCTACTTCATGTACCAAAAACTACTATATGTGCTTATAGGCACTTAGCAAAGTCGACAAAGCGCGACCAAACAGAAACAAGAAGCAACCAACGAGAAGAAGCACACAAACAAAAGAAAAACATGAAAAGCACAAACCATAGTAAAACACAACACGAGACGACAAGCACACAAAGCAACAAGAGCTATGCAAAAAAGTAAAAACTGAATGAGATAAGAGAATCCAATAACGCACACACACACACGCACAGAAAACCGAAAAGTCGAAGCACAAATACAACAAGTCGAAAAGCAACACACACATACACACACCCACACACCCACGCACCCGCGCACCCGCGCACCCGCGCACCCGCGCACCCACGCACCCACACACCCACGCACGCACGCACGCACGCACGAACGCACGCACGCACGCACGCACGCACGCACGCACGCCTATGTATGCTCTATGCACCCTACACCTACACCCTATACACTATACACCCTACACTCGACACTCGAGACCCTAAGCTCGACCTCCCCAGGCGCGCCGCAAGCAATGCTTCTCCCAGGCCAGAAGCCCCCGAAACCTCACGCGGCCTTGGGTGTTTGTTTACAGGGTCCTTAAGGGAGGGGTGTTTGGGGTTTAGCAAAACCTCAAATTCCCCCAAAATCCCAAGATCGCAAAACCCCAAACACTATTCCCCTGAACACTAAATCCCGGACCCCTCGCTCCAAACAACCCTAGCCCTGAGATTCTGAGTGCTTTCAAGCATTATTTTGTTTTTGCTAGGGTTAGGAGTTGAGGCGGTTTAGGGGATTAGGGGCTTTAGGGCTTAGCGGTTTAGGCTTTGGGATTTAGCTGCTTCTTTCGCAACTGCGTCTGCAGCCATTGCAACTTCAGGACTGTTTCGGGTCTAGGTTTAGTGATTCTTTGGGCTTGCAGTTCCAGATGTTCGTCCTCCTGACCAGATGCCAACTTGTCTGTTTGAATGGGAGTAGGGATGACCACAGTTTTTTCTCAGAGTCGTCCTAATTGAAAGCTTAGTCCTAATTGAAAGCTTAGGCCCTTTAGAAGCTATCCAAAGGCTCCTATGTAGTACCTTTTTGGGGTAGTATACCAGAATCCACTATAACCAACCCAAAAAGGAACTACATTGGAGCCTTTGGGTAAGTTGAAGTCTATAGCCAGGTCCTCGACCCTTGGTCCAGAACCCTAGGCTAGAGCCCCCCTGGGCATCTCTGCCCCTTCCCTAAACCCTAAACCCTAAACCCTAAACCCTAAACCCTAAACCCTAAACCCTAAACCCTAAACCCTAAACCCCCAAGGGTCCCCGGTTCACAAGAAATCCTTGGCCAGGGCTTGCGGCGGCGACATCCCTGATGGGCTGTTGGGCGGCCTGGTGCCCATGGGTTAGGACGCAGGGAAACCCAATCCCAACCCCTGAAACCTAATTCCGCAAGCCCTAAACCCTAAACCCTAAACCCTAAACCCTAAACCCTAAACCCTAAACCCTAAACCGTAAGCCGCATTCAACCCCTAAAGCCAAATAGTCTGCATCCCAATGCGGGACCACCTGGATCCCATGGCTTTGGGGTGTTGGGGTCCGGGATTACTGAGGGTTGGGGGTGGTGAGGGTTAGAGTGCAGGGCATACATACCCAAGCCACCCTAGTCCTAAACACTACGTAAGTCCTAACCCCCTTGATTGAAGGGGCCCATTTACTATATATGTCTAGTCGGAATAGATATTTTAAGTTTAGGGCGAGGGTTTCGGTTGAAGCTGAGGCTGCGCATTGTGGGTAGCTCATACTGCAACATGTAGCTGGGCGTAGAAGTAACCCAGTGGTACGCTTTACACACTTATTTGGTTCTGGGTTCCCTTATAAAGTAATCTAACCAGCCCAAAAAAGGGTGGAATATGGTTGCTGGGCTAGCAAGTCTAAGAGAAGGTAGATGGTCCCTGAATATGGTCCCTTACCTTCAGAACCCTGAAGAATGGGCCCTTGGGCTATAGTGTAGATACGGGGGCATGTACCGGTTCCGCAACTAAGGGGCCACATTACAGGACTGGGTGTCTACCCTAAGATATACTTCCAGGGAGTTTATAAGTAGGTTGCTAGAATCCTTAAGGACACAATCAAAGGCTTTTGGGCTTTCCGGTGGTAGTCATTCTGGCTTGGACGCCTCACGACCGTGCCACATGGCTGCCCAGCCCCTACTGCACAGAAGGCCCGCAGTTGCGGCTGTCCACTGCGGCTGCTCGCAGCCTCGTAGGGAAGGCAGCCGGACGTACATGCTGGTACGGGCTTCGCTGTGCTCAGCCGTATGTACAGCTTGCTGTACGGCCCAGCAGTTGATGTGGTGGGAGGCGTGTCCACCCAACCTTTTCGAGGATTTTTCTTGATCTTGAGCTGCCAGAAGACAAGGTGGCTGCCGTGCACGTTTAGGGTTTGGGGTTTAGAGTTTCTAGGTGTTCGGTTTAGGGTTTAGGGTTTAGGGTTTAGGGTTTAGGGTTTAGGGTTTTGGGTTTTTGGTTTTGGGGTTTAGAGTTTGGGGTTTAGGGTGCCTGAAGTCCTTGCCGATGAGCTGGCGACACCCCCGTGCTCTGAACCCCTGGTTTAGCGTTTTAGAGCTTAGGGTTTAGGGTTGAGGGTTTTTCGACACAGAAAAGGCTTCTTCAATTTTTCGCGCCCCCTTGCAGATGCCCGTTCTACAAGGGAAAACCCCTAAGCCCTTGTAGAACCCTAAACCCTAAACCCGCCCCAAACCCTAACCCCTAGCTCTGAGAAGCCCCTTGGACTCCTTTTCCATCCCAGCTTCCGGCTTGTGGCCAGGTACCTGTTTGTGCTGCAGCCTGCTTCCGTCTCCTCAAGGCATGTGTCTTCGCGTTAGGGTTTAGGGTGGTGAGTGTACACAGCGGGCTGGTGTGAGTCCATTGTAGGTAGAAAACCCGAAGCCCTAAGCCCTGAAGTTGAAGCTCGCAAGGCTAACATTCAAATCCCGTCACTGCAAACCGGGCTTAGGGTACTGGGCTTACCATTCGGGTCCATGTACCTAAATAAGGAGTTCCTGGGCCTTAAAGTACCTCTTACATGGGGACTCCTGGGCCCAAGTAGATTTTTAATATGGTACATGCCCTAAACCCTAAACCCTAAACCCTAAACCCTAAACCCTAAACCCTAAACCCTAAACCCTAAACCCCTCAGGGTCAGGTTTTAGAGGTTGAATTCTCCAGTGTGCCCAGTAGGTAGCCTTATTCCCCCTTCTGAAGTGTTGGGATCCCTGAAAACCAAGTTGGGCCACGAAAAGAGTTTAGGGTTTAGGGTTTAGGGTTTAGGGCGCTCCGTACAAGGAGGTTGCCTTGAGATGACTTACTTGGAGGTTCAGGCGTAGTTGTAAGTGGGGTTGTAAGCAGGGTACCTTTACTTAACTGATTGTAACCTTGTTTAGGGTACTTATGACCCTACCTACCCTGAACCGTTGATCCAAATTATTGGGGGCATCTTTTTGTTCTCTCTAAAAACGTATGCCCCTCTCCCCCCAACCCCACTCCCAATTCTCTGGATTCCCAAATGGGAGTTTCCAAAAAGTATGGTCCACCTTTACATCCCCTCCAATTAAGTGGAAGCTCGGTTTAGTATAACTCGAAACCCTAAACCCCCATTCCCGTTAGGCCTTTTGGCCCACGCTGGCTGGCAACCCTCGCTGGGAGCCCGGGGGGGGGGGGGGGGGCCCTTTACCCTCAGGAGTAGGGGCTAAGTTTAGGGTTCCTTATACATGCTGGCGTTTTTATCGGGTGTGTCTTTGGGGGTACTAGCCGCTACTCGCAATGAAATCCTTACTTCATATGTTTCTGATGATTGAGCGACATCAGAGCATGCGCAGTCTCCGCTTTGTCCTCTTTCCCCTGTTTAGCCTCGAGGTTCAAAAAATGTTTAGGACTGATCTAGCACTTCTGTATGTGACTAGTTTGTATGTCTGCGTACAGATGCCTGACTCCAAACATGTTTGTGGTCCGGGTATGGGTCACCGGTTCCAGTCAAAGGATATGGACGCACGCGCCCATCCATCACCATCTGTGACGCCATGCATCGCATTATGATGCATATTAGTACATGAATGAATACATTATTGCATCATTACATCATTAAAACTATTGCATTATTGCATTCTTGCATTATTGCATTATTGCATTATTACATTACTACCTCATTACACTGTTGTATCATTAAGTATATTAATTCATGACTGCATTATATACTATATTGTTACAATTTAGTTTGTCCGCCCAGGTTTCGAAGATCATGTACACCTACGGGTTCCTCCGGCCTGCCAGTTCTGCACGTCTGGGCGCTATGACCCGAATCTTCAAGAGCCTTGTAAGGTGTTCACAGGGCTTAGGGTTTAGGGTTTAGGGTTTAGGGTCTAGGGTTTAGGGTTTTTCTTCTTCTTGTTGATGGTTCAAAGCCCTCAAACCCTCAAACTTTCAAACCCTCAAGCACCCCTAAAGCCCCGGGCCACAAACCTAGGGCTTATAGCCTAGGCCCCAGACCCAGAGAGAGCAAAACCTACACAAGATACAAAGGCGGCCCCTTAGATATAGGGATCTCCGACATTTTTGGAGGATCGGGGTACCTTATTGCGTCCTGATTCTAAGTGGATCCGGCTCTTTGGTGGTCTATGGGAGGGGTCCCTTATTATCACGAACCCACATCATGTACTTGGTAGTCGTAAGTAGGGTAATAGGTCGGCTAACAAACGTTAAACATGGCGAGAACCTTGTTTCGGGTACTTATAACTTATAGCCTACTTGTAACTGCCCATTTGGGGTTCAGGGCTTCGGGCTGGTGTATAGGGCTGCTTAGACGATTTTTGGTCGGGGACCCGAAGCCCTAGTTCCTAGAATCCTTACCCCTAAACCCCAAATCAGTCCGGCTTAGGGTTCCTGGAACTATCTGAAGGTTCATGGGCAGAATGCGTGCTTCAACTGGTTTAGGGCTTAGGGCTTAGGGTTTACAATGTAGTTGGGGATTGCACAGGGCCCTTGTGATAGGGGCCCTGGGTTCGCTAACCAAAAGTTGTGAGATGTTTGAAGCCTTCCCCCCTCCCCTGTTGTGTAAGGGTTTAGGGTTTAGGGTTTAGGGCCTTTAGGGTTTGGGTTTTAGGGTTTAGGGTTTCGAAAAGCCTAAACCTCGAAACCTGAACTTCTTCTTGGCCCCATGCCAGGCAGTGGTACTTGAATTATTCGGACAATGCCCCAGCCTTAAACCAGAGTGCCCCGCAAAGTCAGGTCTCCAGATTCTGGCAGAGAGACAGTAGGCTTTGGGGTTTAGGGCTTAGGGCTTGGGGTTTAGGGGTTCAGAATTTGACTGTCTCATTTTCTAGTCGCAATCTAAAGTAGATAAAAGAAACAAGCAAAGGGAGGTCCTGTTCAGACGGCTAAGTGTTTGAGTCACGGTTAAGGTACCGGGTCGAGGTTTATCCCTCAACCCTAAACCCTGAACCCTAGACCCTCATTGTTGCTTTAGGGTTTTCGGGTATAGTCTGAGGGTAGTTTCAAGGGCCATTATGGTCCCTAACCTCCTTTAAAGGGTTCTGATGTATGGGCCCTTAATTTGCATAGGGTATATACGGGGTATTTAAGGGGCCTTAAGGGGCCCCCCTTTAAAGGGCCCATACTAAGGGACCATGTAACTACCCGAAGATATAGGGTCAGAGGTCTGAAGTCGATTCCCTCTCCAATGCTGGGACCCGTTCTGCAAGAACGCAGAAGCGTTCTCGTCTGAGCTCCGAGGTTCATGACCAGTTACAAGTCGGGCTTATCAGCAGGGTAGCTATACTTCTGGCTGGATATGACCTTATTTAGGGCACTTATGTAACCCTACTAAGAACTTAAACCCCCCACCTCGACTTCCCAAGGAGCCTTTTTTAAGCTTTAAGACCGGGGTGTTTTCGGCTTCAGGGACAGAGGTCCAGAGTCTCGTGTTGAACCAGCCTCCTACTTAACTAGCCAGGACCATGACAGAAGTTTCCTCCTGGTTTCGTTGCCCTAGACTCGGTTACCCTTGAACCCCCATTGGCTGGACCATGTATCCTTTAACCCTCAAACCTAGAACCTAAACCCGAAACCCAAAACCCAAAACCCTAAACCCTAGACCCTAAACCCCAAACCCTGAATCCCTAAACCCTAAACCCTAAACCCCTCCCCTCGCTGCCGAGTTCAAAGAGCGGGTGGCTGCCGGACATTGGGACGACGGGCAGAATTACGCCCGGCGGCACAGGGGTACCGACTTGGGAGGCGTTAAGCCCTTGAACCCTTTGGGGTTTAGGGTTTAGGGTTTGGGGTTCAGGGTTTAGGGTTTAGGGTTTGGGGTGTGGGGTTTGGGGTTTAGGGTTCAGGCGTTTAGGGGTTTAGGGTTTAGGGAGTTTAGGGCTTTTTGAAAGCTACAATTCAGGGAGGAGGCTTATTAAGCCCTAAACCGTTGAACCCTACTTTTGAACCTCGAACTGTACTTCAGGGTTTAGGATTGCGGGTTATAGGGCTTGTAGGGTTTGAGGGTTTACTTGGAGGTTCATGGGTAGTTAGCAGTGAGGTTATTAGCAGGGTAGCCACCATTACCCGGGTTTTCACCTTATTCAGGGTACCAACTTGCAACCCTGTTTATACCTACCATGAACCGCCAAGGAAACCTTTGAACCCTACTATAATCTAAGGGAAGTTACGGGATCCCTTAATATGTTTCTTCCCTTCAGTTGTATAGGGTATAGAAGGGGTACATATAAGGGTTCCCGGGTTTGTTTCACCCGTGCCGCGCTCCTTTTCTTCGGATTTGGCGTTGAGTGAGTGAAGGGACCATGTACATACCTACTTCAAGGTTTAGGGTTCCAGGATTTCGGGTTCTGGGTTCTAGGTTTTTTGGCGGGAGTTTAGGGTGTTAGGGCGTCAAGTTGAGGATTTTTGGGTTTGGCTTTCGGGTTGTTGGATTTGGGAGTTTACGAATTCAGGGCTTGTGTTTATAGGCCTAGGGTTGTGCTCTTGTTTCAGGGACCAGGGCTTCACGCTTCAGGTTCAGGGGACCTGCGGTCCTTGTCCTTCTAGAGTCCTTAAGGAAGGGGGGGTATGAAACCCAAACTTCCCTAATACACTCCCCACTACTTCCCCAAGGCTCCCTAAGCTTCCCGAAGGTTCCCTAGGTACCTACCCCCCTACCCCCCCCCCCATGAACCCCCCCACCCCCCCGCCCTTGCAAGGACCCTACAATGTCCCTTCTTGTGTGCATGGGTTCATTTGCAAGCTCCTAGGCAGGACCTTGGATCTTTTTAAATAGTCTCCTTCTTGGGTTAAAGAGCATCATACTTAGGAATATTATCAGAGTTTAAAAAAAAAGGCCACCAAGACTCTATAAACCCTGAACCCTCAACATGGAAGCGCTACTACCCCTTTGAGGATAGGGCGCCGGTGGCAGATTCTAGAAGATGGATGTGGGAACTGCGCAACTACCTGGAAGCTCGTGTCGGACATGTGGAGTCCCCGTTTGATTTGGCAGATGGGCAGGGAGGTAACACCGCGTCATCGACAATGCCTAGGGGAAAACTCTGCACTTTGCAGATCTGCTACGTACAGGTTTGACGCTGGGCGACCTGGCAGGCTGTGCTCGCCACAGAGGCCGTTGTCCAGGATCCTCGGATGGCGTGTCATGTAGGTGCGATGATGGTGGAGGGAGTTATCGGAGGTGCGCAAACCCACAGCACAGGCCCAGATACACGGAACATGGTCAACCCTACGCCCTAAAGCCTATTGATCCTAAACGCTAGACCATAAACCCTCAACCCTAAACTCTATCCCCTAAACACTAAACACCAAACACTAAACCCCAAACCCCAAACCCTAAACCCTTAACCCTAAGCCCTAGCCCCTAAACCCTAAACCCTAAACCCTAAACCCTAAACCCTAAACCCAAAACCCTAAACCCTAAACGACCTAGGTTCCCTTTAAAAGGTCTGCTGCTGGCATCCCCATGGTGCCTTTTCGATCTCGGCCTTCTTCTTCGTGGCATACTACTGGGCGGCCTGGCTGATATGTTGTGCTGAGGGCTTCAAGCCCGAGACCCTCGGTTTGGGGGTTTAGGGTTTGGGGTTTAGGGTTTAGGGTTTAGGGTTTAGGGTTTAGGGTAACCCTGCACCATACACCCTAAACCCTCAACCCCAAACTTGAAGTCCCTGATGCTTCTAAGGGCCGTGCCCCCCCTAGAACGGGAGACCCGAAAGCCCAGACCCTAAACCCCTACACCCTAAACCCTAAACCCTAAACCCTAAACCCTAAACCCTAAACCCTAAACCCTAAACCCTAAACCCTAAACCTGGTTGGCAGCGCAAGCCTAAGGTTGGAACCATGGGCCCTTCGGAACGCCCATAACCCTTGTGTATGGGGATCCGATGTTTCGTGTAGGTACGGGTCATGTTAACAAAGGACCCAAATGAAGGGCCCAGCCTTGGAGCCCTAGAGAAAGGGTCATGTTTCCGAAATAGTACGGGCATAGGGTTTAACTGGGGTTTAAGGTTTAGGGATTAGGGTTTAGGGTCCGGGGTTTTAGGATTTAGGGTTTGGGGTCTAGAGTTTGGGGGAGAACTGTCCATTAGCAGGAGGGGTTGTAGGGCTTCAGGCTGGAGGGTTGTTTGGCCTGTTGGTTCCTAGAGCTCACGGCCTCGGATCCCGAAGCCGACAACCCTAATCCGTACACCCTACACCCTACACCCTACACCCTACACCCTACACCCTACACCCTACACCCTAAACCCTAAACCCTAAACCCTAAACCCTAAACCCTGAACCCTGAACCCTAAACCCTAAACCCTAAACCCTAAACCCTAAACCCCAAACCCTAAACCCTAAACCCTAAACCCTGAACCCTAAACCCTAAACCCTAAACCCTAAACCCTAAACCCTAACCCTGGGATTGTGGGTCTAGGGCTTCGCCCAGGCCCAGAACTTTCCCAGCGGCAAGAGCGCGAAGCAGTTCGTCAGCCCGAGCCCTGGGTCCGGGGTTTAGGGTTTAGGGTTTAGGGTTTAGGGTTTAGGGTTTAGGGTTTAGGGTTTAGGGCATTGGCCTAGCCACTCCAAGCGACATTTTGACTGCAATTGTAAACCCTAGGATTTAGGGTTTAGGGTTTATGGGTGGTTGGGTTTGAGGATTTTGAAGGTTTAGGGTGTGCTTTTCTCCACCCTGTACTGGGTTGCTTTTAGGCTGCTGTTCAGGATCCTCTTGGAAAGGTCCCTTTTGGGGAGGTGCATATATTGAATCAGTGCGGTTTCCTTATTGTTCAACATCTTTGAATTCCGAATGCCTCGAATCCGCTCCTTCCATCCCCCGCCCCACCCCTCACTACCCCACCACCCTTGAGTGGGGGTAGTAGGCACTTCAGGCATATGAGAGTTGGCTCAGACCTGCTCCCGAAACCCTAAACCCTAAACCCTGACCCTATATTCTATAAGCCACCCTAAAGCCTCAACCCTAAACCCTAAACCCTAAACCCTAAACCCTAAACCCTAAACCCCTAACGCCATCAAATCCCGAAACCCTGATTAAGCCCCATACCTCACCTAATAAGCCCTAAACCCTACATGTTAAAACCCTAATAGACCCCAAAGCCCTACACGACGAAAACCCCAGCCCCTAAACCTTGAAGCCTAATGAATCATCCTATACCCTAAACCCTAAACCCCAAAACCCTTAAACCCGAAACCCCAAAACCCTCAACCCCCAAACCCCCAACCCTAAACCCAAAGCCCTAAACCCTCGACCCTAATCCCCGAACCCTAAGCCCAAGACCCTAAGCCCAAAAACCCCAAACCCCAGACTCTAAACCCCAAAACCCTAACCCCTAAACCCTAAACCCTACCCCGCGCCCCCCCCCCCCCCCCCCAAAACTCCCCCAAACCAAAGCCAATCGGAGGCATCGCGCCACTGTGCGGGGCCCCAGAGAAACGCTTCGAAAGGTTGGGGCTGGGTTAAGGCTTTATATTGTTTACAGGGTTTCTAGGGTTTCTAGGGTTTACAGGGTTTCTAGGGCTCAATGTGTAGGGTTTAGGGTTTAGGGTGAGGAGTTGAGGGAGCCTAGCACAGCCCGTCTGTTTTTTTTTGGGGGGGGGGGAGGGGGGGCTTTGGGGCTTTTGGGTTCAGCGTTTCGGGCTTCTGGGGGTTTAGTTCATCGGGTTTTTAGGGTGTAGTCAGAGTTGAGGGTTCCGGGCTTAGGATGTAAGGTTTCGGGTTTCAGGGTTTTGGGGCTCGAGGTGCCTATTTTTAAACCAATTTTTAGGGAGCACCCCCATACGCCAGACCCTCGACCCTCGACCCCTCGACCCTGAGCCCTCCACTCTACCCAACATGTGGTTCCTTTTTTGGGTTGCTTCTAGGGGATTCTAGTATACTACCCCAAAAAGGTACTACATAGGAGCCTTTGGGTAGACTCTAGACCCCAATTTCTTCAACTCCAGCCGCCTGTGCGCGCTGTGATTGGCGAGACCCGCCGCGCATCTCTGGTCAACGCGCTACGGAATCTCGATGGCATCGGTATCTGCGTGCCAGCGTGCTGCATGAAGGTTGGCGATGGGCGACCTTGTCGGCGCACGCAGCCGGAATGGACCTGGCCCGAAGCATGTTGACCTGCATCACCCTAGAGACACTCTACGCAGCTCTCAGGTTTAGATTCTGCTCTTAGCGGGCACATAAATAGAAATACATATAAATTAATATAAATCGATAAATATAATAAGGTAAATATAAGTAAATAAATAAATAAAAATAAATATATGTATATATATAGAGCTCCTTAATTGAAAGCGGCATCGCGTTCTGTCTTCTGTGGGTTTGATCGGTCTTGGGGTCTTTAAAGGTCTCGGGGGGTTCTTGGGGGGGTTTATAGGGTTTAGGGTTTAGGGTTTAGGGTTTGGGGCTGCAAGTGCTTAGGGCTCCCCTAACGGCCCAGGTTTGGGGTTTGGGGTTTAGGGGTCCGTAAACCCGAAGCCCTAAGCCCTAAACCCTAAACCCTAAACCCTAAACCGTAAACCCTAAACCCTAAACCCTAAACCCTAAACCCTAAACCCTAAACCCTAAACCCTTCTTTCAGAAACTCTCCGGACCATCCGGAATGTGAATTCGGGGAGTCCAAGGTTGAGTGCTTTGCTCGTACGACTTCGGGATAGACTGAATTGTCCATATTTTGGTTTCAAGAGGATCATATTTAGGAATCTTTTTTCAGAGGGCAACCTAGAGCAGCTTTTCGCCCTGGAGTGGTTTTGATGTTTCTGTGGTGTGAGGGGGGGGGGTGGCCCTTCACATACTCATGGGGCACGCGCTACTCGGATCCTGATTATTAAACTCGAAGGAAGACTCCCGCATTGAAGGGTTCTTGAGCCTCTGTGTAACCCCCTGCACCAGAAGAACTCTACCCTACAGCGTAGACCCTAAACTCTGAACCTTACAAGGGCCAAAGACCCAGGTTTGAAAGGCAACGACCGCATGTGCCCGAGGCTGTTTAGGGTCCCATTCATGTCGGAGTATCTGCTTCTCTGCCCGGGGCCTTGGCATTTCGGTCGGGTTTAGGTAGGTCGAACCCCCTGAGCCCCTAATCCCAACCCGTCGGGGCGGTTGGGGCTTTTGGGGTGTTCTAAGGGTACTGACTGGTCTTGCATGAGTTCTCCGTAGCACCTTTCATGTGCCGAACCTTCTGCCCATTACTGGCGTACCTCGCGTCATTCTTTGTACTATATCGGGTCACAACCTACGAACTTGTAGGTTTGGGGTTGCAGGTGGGTTTAGGGTTTAGCTAAACTCTTCAAAAATGCACCTTAAACCTCACAAACGCCAATCCCCCCCCCCCCCCCCCACAAAAGAAACCTAAAGCCTAACCCAACCCCAACCTGCCCAACCCACCCTAAACCCTAAACCCTAGACCCTAAACCCGAAACCCTGAACCCTGAACCCTAAACCCTAAACCCCCAATCTTTTCATGCTCCAGTCTGTTGAGCGGACCTGGTTCCTTTGGGGTTTTAGGGCAAGTTCAGGGTTCTGGATTTGGGGTTTGGGGTTTAGGGTTGAGTGAGGGTTTGGGCTTTAGTGAGGGTTTAGCGTTTTGGGGCTTAGGGTTTCGGGACTAAGGTTTAAGGGATACGGTTGAAGGATGAAGGTTTAGGAGAAAGGGGGGCTATGGGGCGTATACAGGTTTTTTTCGGTTCCAAACCCTAACCCTAAGCCCTAAACCCTAAACCCGAACCAAAAACCCTAAACCCTAAACCCTAAACCCTAAACTCTAAACCCTAAACCCTAAACCCTAAACCCTAAACCCTAAACCCTCACTAAAGCGACGCGTCTTCCACCTCCGAGGCCATGCGCGGCGACAGGATCGCAAGCCGCGCGCTGAGAAGCAGCTGTTGGGTTTAGGGTTTAGGGTTTAGGGTTTAGGGTTTAGGGTTTAGGGTTTAGGGTTTAGGGTTTAGGGTTTAGTTTGGGGTTCAGGTTTTAGGGTTTAGGGCTTCGGTCTTAGGGCTTAGGGCTTAGGGTTGGGGTCCTGCAGCTCCAAACCTAGCAAGCGCTAGTTCCTAAACCCCTAAAGCCTTAAAAGCCGCTTCGTCACCAACCAGAACTCCAAACCGGATTCTGAAGGACACTCTGGTCTAGCTGTGTAAACTTACGGTTCAGCTTTAGGGTTTAGGGTTTAGGGTTTAGGGTTTAGGGTTTAGGGTTTAGGGTTTAGGGTTTGTGTCTACTTGAAGGTTCATTGGCAGTAAAACGCAGAGTTATAAGTATCCTGTATCAGGTTGAACCAGCTAGATTTAGGGTTGCCCTCCTTATAACCTATAGCCACCCATGCATTTCCAAGTACAAGCCTATAAGCCCCAGAAATCCGAAAACTATTTTACTTCGAACATCCCCACCTTAGCACTCCAGGGTCTCTGGGGTTGGGCACTCCAGGGAGTCTCTGATGTTGGGCACGCCAGGGAGTCCCTGCGGTTGGGCATTTCAGGAAGTCTCTGATGTTGGGCACTCCAGGGAGTCTATGCGGTTGGGCACTCCAGGGAGTCTCTGAGGTTGGGCATTTCAAGAAGTCTCTGATGTTGGGCACTCCAGTCTAGGGAGTTTCTGGGTTGCCAGGGAGTCTCTGGGAGTAGACTGGGCGAGGGGAAGAGTTCCGGGCGAGGAGAAGAGTTGACATTAAAATCTAACAACCCCACACCGAAGGTGGGGGGCAAAAAGGACATTTAACCCTTTGCACACCCTAAACCCCCTAAACTCCCAAAGCACATAACCCTAAAGTAGGCTTTGTATCCCCAAGTCCTAGACCCGAAGCCCTAAAAGATGCTCCAAGCCCGAATCATGAACACGAGCATGGTCATGCCTCGGTAGATAAAGACTGCAGCTTAGGGTTCAGGATTTTCAAAGTTAGGGTTTAGGTTTAGGGTTTAGGGTTTTTTTTATTTGTAGGGTGTAGGGTGTGGGGTTTAGGCTTCAGGGCTGAGGGAGTTCGCGGCTTCAGCATCTGAGGTTTCGAGGAAGGGACTGTGCTCCCACTGCCCCATTTAGGGGCCTGGAGTTTGAGGGTTTAAAGTTTTTTTGGGGTTTGTGCGTGTTTCTGTTTTAGGGTTTGTTTGGGGGTCTGAGAACCATAAACCCTAAACCCTAAGCCCTAAACCCTAAACCCTAACCCTAAACCCTAAACCCTTTCAGGACCTTCTCGAAGCTCCTGGACCAGGGTGCCACCGTGGCAGCCGGAGGCTCAAAGGTGGGGGTTTCCGAAATTAGGGTACCTTACGGATGTAGGGTTTAGGGTTTAGGGTTTAGGGTCATATTATAAGGGAATCCTGCTATTTGGGGATCTATATTGGGGGCCCTCCTAGTTTCGTAAACCCTCAACAGGTGGATTCTTCAGAGCGCTGCACGACCTGAGAGGTGTTCGGGTTCAGGGTTTAGGGTTTAGGGTTTAGGGTTTGCGGTTTAGGGGGCTCTGAAGCAACGCACCCGGTAGGCAGCGTTACCAAGCATTCTTGCAGTCAAATCGAACGTCTCTTTCAGTCTGCCTGCCGCCTGACACCTCCCCACCGTACAGTGATCCTTTGTTTTCGTTTGCTTTAAGCCCTAAACAGCAACCCGGCAAACTGTACAGCTAGAGTATAAGTTTAGGGTTTAGGGTTTAGGGTTTAGGGTTTAGGGTTTAGGGTTTAGGGTTAAGAGTCATAGACTATAGAGATTGAGCCTCGCTTTGAAGCTTTGCCACCATAAACTCTGCAGACTTCTACTTATACTCGAATCCAGAAGCCGCTGTAAAAAATACCATGGCCCCGAAGCAAGAGACAAGAAAATAAACCACAAGAGTTAATAATGAGCAAAGCAATAAACATGAAGAAATAGAAACATGTTTAAGAAAAAAAACAATCATCATACATGAAATGAGAATAACCCATGAAAGCTAAGCCCTAAACCTCACATCAGATCTACTAAGCCATGAATATCGTGGGCTTTTTGCTGTTCAGCTGCGCTCGCAGGTGAAGAGAGCCGATTAAGATGGGGCTTTGGGGGTTTAGGGTTTAGGGCCCCTGGCAGAGTGCAGGTTCCTCAAAGGCCCGAACATAGGTTTAGGATTGAAGGCTGAACCCCCACCCCCACAAAAACAAGAAAACTCAGGTCTTGAGGGTTTAGGGTTTAGGGTTTAGGGTTTAGGGTTCAGGGTCTTGAGGGCGGGAGGTTCAAGGGGGGGTATGAACCCAAGGTTCCCCAACACTCCCCACCTCCGCCCTAGGGCTCCCTAAGCTTCCCACTTAGGTACCTACCCCCCATGAACCCCCCTTCCTTAAGAATCCCTACACTGAGGGTTTAGGGTTTAGGGAGTTCCCCACCCCCCCCCTCCTCCTCCTCGGAGGCGCCCGCGCCTAAACTCTAAACAGTAAACCCTAGCCCTAAACCCTAAACCCTAAACCCTAAACCCTAAACCCTAAACCCTAAACCCTAAACCCTAAACCCTAAACCCTAAACCCTAAACCCTAAACTCCCCAAATCCAGCACACAGCCTGAGGTGAACCCAGGCGGCCTCTACGAGCAAGTCGCCACGGATGCGAATCAGGCGCCTCCGGTCTTGAAGCTGTCATGGTTTCGATCCCAGACCCCAAAACCCCAAAACCCAAAACCCTAGCCCTAAACCCTAAACCCTAAACCCTAAACCCTAAACCCTAAACCCTAAACCCTAAACCCTAAACCCTAAACCCTAAACCCTAAACCCTAAACCCTAAACCCTAAACTTTACATAAAGCAGACATGCCATGCCAGGGAGGCTCTACCTCCGAAGCCTCCCTTCCATACCACCTGACTGAGCCCGCCTTTAGGGTTTAGGGTTTAGGGGGTTTAGGGTGTTAGGGTTTTAGAGTTTTAGGGTTTAGGGTTTTAGGGTTTTCGGGTTTGAGGGTTTTAGGGTTTTTGGGTTTTTGGGTTTTTGGGTTTTTGGGTTTAGGGTTTTAGGGTTTTTGGGTTTTTGGGTTTTTGGGTTTTTGGGTTTTAGGGTTTTAGAGTTTTTGGGTTTTGGCCGAGCTGGCTTCTTGGCTGGCTGGCTGAAATCACCGCAAGACGCAGTCCTGCGCGGCGCTGGACGCACCGCAGGTTCGACCACCACCAGCATCACCTATGTACTTAAAGACTTAGTATGGGTTTAGGGTTCAGGATTTCAGTGTTCAGGGCTTAAAGCCCTAAGCCCGAAACCCCGTACCTGAGGGAGTGCTACGAGGGTTTAGGGTTTGGGGTTTGGGTTCTGGGTTTACGAATCTCAACCCTTATCCCCAACGAAGATATACTTAATTCGGGTTTTTCAGGGTTTCATTGCAGGCGTTTCAGAGCTGTACTGTGTTGCATGGGGTTTCCGTGCTTCCTGGCGTTTAAGAGGGTCTTGTGTAGGAAAGTCTTAGGGTTTAGGGTTTCGGGTCTACAGGATACAGGGTTAGGGCTTAGGGTTTAGGGTTTAGGGTTTAGGGTTTAGGGTTTAGGGTTTAGGGTTTAGGGTTCAAAGGCCAAGCCAGTTCAGGGCTTTGTGCCTGCAAGGAGCGGCTCTTCTTCCCGGCCAACTTGGGCTTCGTGCGGTGCCTCTGGCAGCTGATGGGTTTAGGGTTTAGGGTTTAGGGTTTAGGGTTTAGGGTTTAGGGTTGGGGTTTAGGGTTTGGGGTTTAAGGGTTTGGGGGGTTTAGGGTTTAGGGTTTAGGGTTTACGTAGGGTTTAGGGTGTCGGGTGTGCATTTCTTGTTAGTGCTTCTGGATTAAGGTTTAGGGTTAATAGGCTTCAGGGCGTAGGGGGAGGGGGGGGAAGAAGACAGGCAGCACAAAGCGTGGGATGAGCTATCTATGTCTGCAGATACATATGGATTAGGATCATGATTCGCTACCACACTCGTCAGACTGAAGCGTTTAGGGTTTTGGAGGTTGGGAGTTCAGTTTTTTCAAGGGCTTTAGGCCTTGGGAATGCTAAATCCTGGGTAAAGGGCTCCGTATGCCGCATTTGCATAAACAAGAGGGGGGCGAAGCCCCAACCGGGCACCCTCAAACCCCCAATCCCAAAAACCCCAATCGCTTATACATACCCGAAACCCTAAACCCTCAAACCCTAAACCCTGAATCGCCAAATCCTAACCTAAATTCGAAACTCCAAGCCTCTAAACCCGAAGCACTAAACCCTAAACCCTAAACTCTGCCAAGCAAGACCCTAACTGCTAATGTAGTTCAAGCCCAGTCTCTCCACCAGCCAGGCTCGCCATCCAACATGGCACCCCGCTGATCCCAATCTACTGCTTTGGTGAGAACCAGCTGTTCAGGAGAGGTTTGGGGGTTGGGGTTTAGGATTTGGACATGTCGTGGGTTTAGAGTTTACTGTGTTTAGGGACTTGGGGCTTGTGGCGTTTGTGGTTCAAAGGCTCTTTTAGGGTGCCCAGTGGTAGCTTTTGTTTCTCTCCCGTACAAACTTTGGCTCCCTTTTTTTGCGCTTCTACTGTGAGCCAGCTCTTCTGGAGAGGATTGCTGCGTAGGGCCTAGAAGCCTAGACCCTGAACCCGAAACCCTAAATCCTACACCCTGGACCCCATAAACCCCAAAACCTAAAAACCCTGAACCCTAAAAGCCCTAAACCCAAAACTCAAAACGCAAAACGCAAAACCCTAAACCCTAAACCCTAAACCCTGAACCCTAAACCCTAAACCCTAAACCCTAAATTATAAACCCTAAACCCTAAACCCTAAACCCTAAACCCTAAACCCTAAACCCTAAACCCTAAACCCTAAACCCTAAACCCTAAACCCTAAACCCTAAACCCTAAACCCTAAACCCTAAACCCTTAAACCCCTAAACCCTAAACCCTAAACCCTAAACCCTAAACCCTAAACCCTAAACCCTAAACCCTAAACCCTAAACCCTAAACCCTAAACCCTAAACCCTAAACCCTAAACCCTAAACCCTAAACCCTAAACCCTAAACCCTACGCCGCGGGCTGCTGGAAAGGACCGCAGAGTGGGTTCGCAAGGTCAACAACTTCCTGTACAGGCGGGAGCCATTCGCTACTTCAAGGTGTAGGGTTTAGGGTTTAGGGGTTTAGGGTTTAGGGTTTAGGGTTTGGGGTTGAGGGTTTAGGGTTCAGGGTTTAGAATTTAGGGTTTAGCGGTTCGTTATGAGCCCTATGCCGCCAAAGACATTACCCGTTTGAGTTTCCTAGGTGGTTGAGGAATCTGAAGCTGAGCGCTACACTAAATCCCAAACTGAGACTTCAGAGACTTATCCCTTCAGCCTCCTAATCCCACCTAGGGTGATCCCTATGAACCCTACACCCTGAACCCTAAACCCTAAACCCTAAACCCTAAACCCTAAACCCTAAACCCTAAACCCTAAACCCTGAACCCTGAACCCTGAACCCTGAACCCTGAACCCTGAACCCTGAACCCTGAACCCTGAACCCCTAGCCCGCCCTGTGCTCAAACGCGCAGCTCCCAAAGCCAGGGAGCTTGAAGTCCCAAGCCCTCGAACCCAATTCCCTCAGCAAGACCCCATATCCCTGAGCGCCGAAACCCTCGGCCCTAAGCACCCTCACAAGCCTCACACACCCACCCGAAACCCTAAGCCTGAGCAGGCCAGCCCTTGTTGGGATTTTGTTGCGTTTTGCCTGATCTGAGCTACCCACCAAAACCCCTTAGAGCCCGCAAGGCCCCCGAAACCCCCCCAAAACCCCCAAAACCCCCTGAACCCTAAACCCTAAACCCTAAACCCTAAACCCAAACCCTAAACCCCCCCTGAACCGCCTCTGACTTCCTAATTCCACCCTGAGCCCCTTGAGCCTCCTAAGCGCCCTGAACCCCTCAACCCCCTACACCCTAAACCCTAAACCCTAAACCCTAAACCCTAAACCCTAAATCTAAGCTCTAAACCCTAAACCCTAAACCCTAAACCCTAAACCCTAAACCCTAAACCCTAAACCCTAAACCCCCCAAAAACCCCTCCGAAGGCCCCCCTGAACCAAGCCTCAGAATGCCTGGAAGGAAGCTGAAGGTTGGCAACTTCCTGATCTTGGGCCAGGGCCCCATGCATTATTGGGTTGTTGTTAGGGTCTACGGGTTTAGGGTCTAGGGTTTAGGGGGTTAGGGGTTAAGGGTTTAGGGTTAAGGGCTTTTAAGGTTCAGGGCTTAGGGCTCTACAGCCCTCAGGCTTAGGGTCACTTCTGGATTCGGTTCGGCCCAGATTGCCCGACGCGTCACACCTGGGGCCTTCTTGACACACTACTGTACTCTGGTTTCGGATGGGTTGGGGATCCAGGATCTTGGATTTTGGATAGCCACACTCAGTCGAAACCCCGCTCAAACCCTATGTCAAAAAAGCAACCTGAAATTACAAGTACTGAACCACAGGAGATTCCGTCTGAGGAAGTGCGCCCTAGAGTTGAACGCATGCCATGAACCGGACGTAATCACGCCCCCGGCCCCCACACCCTCCCAGCAATTTTCTGATGAAAATAACTCCCTTTCATGTTCAGAGAAGTGTTGAAACTTATCTGTTGTATTACTCTGTTCAATTCATCCTTTATCACAAGATGTAATGGAAACTCCGTGATTTTTTATTCGAACACTACTTCCCTAAGAATCTTGAAAACAATCTTTTTTGTGTTTTAAAACTATTGTTATGTTTTCTTGTTGTTTTCCCTCATATGGGCCGTTTCCAGCAAAGTGGCTGCAACGTTCCCTACCGCATCACCCAAGCTGGCCAAGGCGGAGGAGGGCCTCTCTCCATCGCTGAAATGACAGAAGCTTTGTTGCTAGATTCGGACGAACCCGTTCTGGCAAAAGATTGTGTCTGCCACACGGATGGTGCAAAGGCTTACAGAAGCTTGGCAAGCCCGTTGCACGACGGAGCTCTTGCAAACTTCAGCTCCCTCAAGCTCTCTCACACTCGTGTCAAACACAAGCCTCGACACCCGGAGTTTACCAAGAGACTCCGGGTTGAGGTTTGGACTGGAGAAGTTTGAAGAACAGACCCGTTTGGGAGGGACTCAAGAGTTGGACGGTTCTTTGCCAGCTTCCGAAGACTTGCGGGGAAGAAGCCGCTGAACACCGTTGGCTCTTCCTTCCTGGTCTTTGTGATATGGGCGGTTTGGGGTTTGGCTTTCAAATCCACCCGAGTAGCTCAACGCGTTACGCTGCGCCAATCTTGCGGCTTTAGGCTTTGGTATATCAAAGCCTTGAAATTGGTATTTCAGGGGCCCGTTTGGGGTCAGTGGCAGGGATGATTAAACTGCCTTCCACGATGGATGTGCAGCTCCGGGTGCGGGTTGAGGGCTTAGGGTTTCGTTGCAGGAACCAATTGTTTTCGTATGATATCTTTGCGCGTGGGACTCAATATTGAAATTTTGAGTTTTTTTTAACTTTTCAATATTGGGGCCCGGGATCCAAGATCCAAGATTTCAGAAAAAGTCTGTGGGAGGAATCTTGGATCCAGGGGCCTCGGGTCCAAGATCCAAGATTTCAGAAGAAGTCTTTGGGGGGATGCAGGGCCCCAATATTGAACTATTGAAAACTTCAATTTTCAATGCTGCACCTTGGATCCAAGATGGCCTCCGAAAAAAGTTTCTGTGGAATCTTGGATCTTGGATCCAGGGCCCCAAGATTGAAATATTTTGAAAAAATCAATAACTCAATATTGGGGCCTGCCTCTGTTATCTATACATGTCTCAAAAACCCACAGCGATCCACTTCAAACTTAAAAAAGAATACATATATATATGTATATATACATATATATATATACATACATACATATGGCCATATCTGAAGGCGCGAGGTCACTCGACTGCACATGGCCTGGGTGCGACTTGGAGTGATCTACACCCCGAGTGTGCGCCTCATGAAACAATGTGCTCCCTTGTCGAGACACGTGCTTTTTCTGTTCGCATCCCCTCTAAACGAAATAAGTGCTTCAAAGTGGTGGGGAAAGGAGTGTTGAAGGGCAAGAAGGTTATCCTGCAGGAGCCAACAGATAGACGAAGGTACCGTGGCATGCCACCCCTCGCGACTTCCCGTCACATTACAATGCGCAGCTGTCTCTCAACCTACGTCCTCCATCAACACCATGGTCCATTGCTGCAGACAAACGTCTCAGAGGGATCGTCTCCAAGCCAAAGCGTGTCAAACGTCACTTAGCGGAAGCAATCGGTGATAGTGATATCTCCCGGAAGGAATGCTATGGGCGACGTCCCAATGGCACATGATGAATGAGGGAAGAAAATCCTCCGTCAGAGAGTCAACCTGAGGAGAACGCAACACGACAATGTCTTGGAGGAGCCACAGATCATCCGTCGAGTCTGTAGCGCAGGTGAATGCGATGAGTCAGGTTGATCCGGTTTCGCCTACACCGACAGGAGAACCAGTGCTGTCTGCGCATGTAATGAGTCAGGTTGATGCGGTCCTGCCTACATCGCAACGAGAGCCCCTCGTGCCTGTGGATGCGATGAATCAGCGTGATCCGGTTATGCCAGCACCGACTGGGGAAGCAGAGGCTGAACCACATGAGGACAAGACATCCCATGAGGGCAAGAACCCCCCGCGCGCGAAGGAGCAAGCCTCCGATTCCATGTCCGTGTCATCGTCGTCGGCCTCCTCCCTCCTCATCCGCTGCTACAAAGTCGGAGGTTCGCGCGCGCATTCATGTGCTGGAGGCTGACCTTGAGGAGACATGTCACGACTTGTGTCTCGCGAATGAAGCCCTGGGCCTGAACATGTAGGCGAGAACGTTTCAGCGGACAGAGACACGGCTATGAGTGTTGCGAGGGCCTAACAAAGGCTAGTGTGCCATCTGCTTTCTGTTTCTGCGTATGACTCAGCAATCACGCGTCACGCGTACCTCAACACACGTCTCCGTGAGCACAGCGTCAGGCTTCCAGTGTAGTGTAGTGTCGTCTCGCCACGTATCTTTGCGCTGTGCCTGGCATGCGCCCCCACCGCGTATGCTCGACGACGCGATGATGAAGTACGGCTCCAAGGACTGGGTGCTCACCGAGCTATCCGCTCCAGTCTACCGCGACAGTGACCTCGAGATAGCGGATTTTCTTGCCTACTCTTGTAGACTTGATGCGCCCAAGTCATGTGTCATTATCTTGGATGTGCACAGGACCGTGGCTGAGCTGGGAAATTTAGCCTCGGTACGTGAGAAGATCAGGGATCACGATCACAGTATGTTGCCCTATCCATTGCGGCCCTCAGAAACATGTCCTTCCGGTGCTACCGCCTCCTACATCATCAAGAACAGGACGGACCGCGCCATGAACGTTGTCCGGATTATCAAGTTCCCCAGTAAGGTGCCCGCAAGAGACGCAAGGGAGCTACGCGCCGGGCAGGTGTACTTCGTCGCCCTTCGGCAGGGGCCTTGGGCATGGACAAAGCTCTTTACTCGATCTTGGCTTGGTGGCCATCATGGACTGTAGAGGACGGGGGGCTGGGTGCTGGTGTGAATTATGTGAACGCCAACGCTCCCGACCACACTCAGAAAACCAGCAATACGGAGCCTTAGGAACATCAACCCCCCCAGTGGCTCACCCATCAGTGGGTGGCCAGAATCGAAGGTGAGCAGGATGGCCCAAAACAAATCCAGGAGCACCATGGGGTTTTTTTTGGTGAAATTCTTCCCGGCGCCGTGGCTGGAACACCATCCCGGAGCGCCGCCCTTTCCAGGCGACATGCGTATCTAGCTTATAATTAGTGCTCGGCAGGCCTTGTTCTTATTCAACTGTGATCGTTGTCACGTCTAGCTGCGCATGAACAACGCAGTCCTCGAGTGGGTCGGCTGGCCCGGAGACAGTCGAGAACCACAGCCGGAGCCTGCAACCTGGCCACAATTAAAATTCTCGAACGCACCTTCTGTTCTTTTGTTTCATTCTAAAACTACATCCCAGGACTGCGACGAGGACAAGTCGGAGAACGACGGCCTCAACATCCTCTACGGCTTTCCGTGGGAAAGATGAGCCGGCTCTTGGCGCAGCGGTGCTCGCGTAAGTCGTCCAAAAAGGGTCGAAGCGCGTTGACATTTCATTGGCAGTGCAGTTCTGCACGTTAGACCTCTAATGTTCTGTTCACACCCCTTGCTGAAAACCACAAGCCATCCTACTGGCCACCAACGACGTGTTGCTCCCCATTTTGTTTGTCCATGTTTTCTACTGGCCACTCCCAACTTCATGGCTTCAGTCAGTGATTTGAATGCGCAGTCTGCTCTGCATTTGCTCCGCATTTGCTTTGTGTTTGCTCCCCATTTGCTCTGCATTTGCTGTGCATTGACTCTGGATTCGCTCTGCAGGCTGAAATCATTGCGTTAGCGCTTGCGTTATTCGCATTTGCATTGGCACTGCTTTCGCTTTTGAGTTTGCAGTTGCAACTGCATTTGCTTTCATGTTTGCATTCGGGCCTGCATTTTCTTTTGCATCTGCATTTACGCTTGCCCTAGCTTTTTCTCGTTGACGGTTCATGGCTAGTCCGGTTCTGCATGTACAACCTCTAACGTTCTGCTCAACCCCCCCATTCGTGTAAAAACATAAATGTCCGCAGCAACTTCATTGCTCCGCTCTTAATTTGTAGATGCTTTCTAATGGCCATTGCCAACTTAGGCACATTTGCATCCGCATTTGCTTTTTGCATTTGCGCTTGCATTTGCATTTGCATTTGCATTTGCATTTGCATTTGCTTTTGCATTTGCTCTTGCATTTGCTCCTGCATTTGCTTTTGCATGTGCTCTTTTGCTTTTGCATCTGCTCTTGCATTTGCTTTTGCATTTGCTTTTGCATGTGCTTTTGCATTTGGTTTTGCATTTGCTTTTGCATTTGCTTTTGCATTTGCTTTTTGCATTTGCTCTAAACCCTAAACCCTAAACCCTATACCCTATACCCTACTAAGCCGCCTCCCAGGCCTCTTTGGCATCCCAGTGACGCCGCTGATCCCCAGTCCGCTCTTCAGCCCCGCAGCGTGGCGAATGTTGATGCGGTTAGGGGTTAGGAGGTTTACTAAGTGTTGTAGAAGAGTATATAGTGATTCTGTAAGGCGTGTATGAGGGAGGGTGTAGGGTTTAGGATTTTGGGTTTAGGCTAAACATGGGTTTACGGTTCTGCCCCTAAACCTAATCCCTAAACCCCTCAAACCCTAATGCCTGAAAACCCTAAAGCCTCAAACCCTAAACCCTAAACCGTAAAACCCTAAACCCTAAACCCTATCCTTTCCATCGTACGCAGAGGTCTTTCGGACCCGGCTGCACATTGAGTTCGGCAGCTTTGGCCGCACTTGGAGAGTGGGGGGGGATGCTTTAGTGATGAGGGTTTAGGGTTTAGGCTTAAGGTTTAGGGTTTCGGGTGTAAGGTTCAGGGTTTAGGGTTTAGGGCCCCCTGAATCATAGGCCCCTAAACTTATGGCATGGGAATCTCCTAAACCCGAAACCCCGAACCCTAAAAAACTCAACCCACGCCGTAAACCCTAAACCCTAATAAACCCTAAACCCTTATAAGCCCTAAACCCTAAACCCTAAACCCTAAACCCTAAACCCTAAACCCTAAACCCTAAATTTCAGGCCTAGCGGCACGGGCCGGCCCCCGCCCCCCAAAGCACGAAACCTTGAACCTTGGCACTGTCTTCTCTTTCCCGTGTCTTTGTCCTCTCCTTCTCTCTGTCTCTCTTTCTCCTGCCTTCGCCCCCCCTCCCTCCCCCCCCCTCCCCCCCCGGCGCGCGCGCGCGCGCGCGCCGCGCGCGCGCGCGCGCACCCGCATCAGGAGCATCAGTGGGGTTGGTTTGGGGGCCTTAAAAGCATTCTATGCATGCGTTTTGCCTTCGAAAAACCTTTAGAAAACGCTGTAAACACGTGTTTTTGGGCTTGGGAAGCCTTTTGGGACCCAGGAAAGGGAGCATCATGAGCATCAGCGGCCTCCCCCAGGCCATCCAAAACCACCTTAAACACGCCGATTGTATGTGCTTGAACGCTTGCGTGCCCACGAAACCCCCAAAAGCAAGACCCCGAATGCCCTTAAGGGCATTCGGGGTCCTGCTGTTCGGGCGTTTTGTAGGCACGAAGCCGTTCGAGCGCGTAAAATGAGCGATTTTAGGGGCGTTTTTACGTGGACCCACAAAACACTCGGTATTTACGAGGTTTTCTGCTGTTGGAACACCCCCCCAAACCGAGCATCATGAGCATCAGCTGGGTCTCTGGGCCGTGGGCCCGGACCCCCCCACGAAGCCCAAGAGAAGCGATGGCTCGATGATGCGCCCGGACCCCGCGCATCAGCAGCATCAGCAGACCCCCCCCCGGACGTGGGTTTCGTTGGGGGCGGGTCAAGGGCAACAGGGGTGGGGGTCGGAGGCACGCGTGAAAAACCTCATAAAAACACGGTATTTACGGTGATTTCAGCGTTTTTCAGCGTTTTTTATTGCCTTGGGCCCGCGGGCCAGGGCTGCTGATGCTCATGATGCTCGCCTGGTTTTGGGCTTCCGGTACCCCCCCCCAAACCTTGAAAAACGTGGTTTCGGCCTGGCGCGCGCCCCATGTGAAAAGCTAGGGCCGATGATGCGCGCCCGTGAGGGTTTAATGGGGTGCTGCAGGTGTTTTGTGGCCTCGGTTTTTCGCAAAAACCCATGATTTTTACGAGGTTTTCGTGCTTTTCGCACCACCGCGCGTTGCGTCCCCTTGGATGCCGTTTTGGAGGCCTCCCGAAGGGCCCCGCGCGAATTTGAAGCAATTTTGGGCGGGGTCGGCGGCTCGGGCGCTCGCCCCTTAACGCTAGTGCTTTAGTGCGACGCGGGCTCCGCCCTGGACCACGGGCGGCACGGGGGCCGGATTTAAGAGCCTCCGGCTCAAGCCGCCGACCCCGCTGGAGCATAGTTGAAAGGTTTAAACGTGCTCGTCAGCTCAAAGGATGCCAAAAGTTGATTTGCTTGAGCCTCTATGAAACGTTGGGGGGGTACCCCCCCCTACCCAGAAAGAGGGAAGTTTTCACCTCCTTTTCCCATCCAACACGCCGCCAGGGTCGGCGGACCCTAAACCCTAAACCCTAAACCCTAAACCCTAACCTAAACCCTAAACCCTAAACCCTAAACCCTAAACCCTAAACCCTAAACCCTAAACCCTAAACCCTAAACCTTAAACCCTAAACCTAAACCCTAAACCCTAAACCCTAAACCCTTAAACCCTAAACCCTAAACCCTAAACCCTAAACCCTAAACCCTAAACCCTAAACCCTAAACCCTAAACCCTAAACCCTAAACCCTAAACCCTAAACCCAAACCCCTAAACCCAAAACCCTAAACCCTAAACCCTAAACCCTAAACCCTAAACCCTAAACCCTAAACCCTAAACCCTAAACCCAAGCCCTAAGCCCTAAGCCCTAAGCCCTAAGCCCTAAGCCCTAAGCCCTAAGCACTTCCGCAGGCCCGCCGGTCCCTGTCGGCCCGAAAGAAGCGGAGCCCAGCGACGAGCGCGTGCAGGAGGCCGACAGCCCGTTTAGGGTGTAAGGGTTTGGGGCAGGCAGGGGTTTAGGGTTTAGGAGTTAAGGGGTTTAGGGTTTAGGGTTTAGGGTTTAGGGTTTAGGGTTTAGGGTTTGGGGCTTAGGGGTTTCGGGTTTCGGAGTTAAGGGGTTTAGGGTTCAGGGTTTAGGGTTTCGGGCTTAGGGGCTTAGGGTTTGGGAGCTAAGGGGTTTAGGGTTTAGTGTTTATCGGTTCAGGGGTTGAGGGGTTCAGGGTTTTAGAGTTTAGGGTTTACCTCGGACTTCGTTTGCCGGCGGTCTGGGGGGGGGTGGGGGGTATGCCCGATATTATTAGGGGGGTGATATCCTGCTTATTATGTAGATCTGTGAGTCCCAGGTAGTGTATAGGACTTACTGTTTACGGTTTTGGATTTACAGGGTCTTCGGTTTGGAGGTTGTGGGTTTGGGGCTTTCGGGTTTGTACAGGTTCGGCAGGGTGGATGACAGGCTGCAGCCTGCAGCAGGCTGCCACTACCTTGAACCCTAAACCCTAAACCCCTCAACCCGAAACTGCCTAAGATTCCCACGCAAGCTGAAGCAGCCTCTAATGTTGAACGCCTCGCGGCCAGGTCTACACGAAATACGTCGCGGCCCTCCAAGAGATGTTCAAAGCCTGCGCGCCAAAGTATCTTCCGAAGGAGGCGCCTCACCGAGAGGGTTTAAGGTTGAGGCTTCCCTACACCCTAAACCCGAAACCCTACTTGCACTGCAGTAGGAGCATTGTGCAGGGGGGGGAGGAGATCCAACCTGTGCCTGTTGTAAGCTGCACAGTTGGGGTCGTTACAGGTAGAGTTGTAATTGTAAACCAGGCAGTGTCCCAGGAAAAGTCTCACTGGGGTGTCGGGGTGCCAGGCGTCCCAGAGAAGGTTCCAGGGAAAGGGTGGGGCGTGCGTGGGTTTGGTTGGCTTTTCGTTTTTTTGGAGTGGTCTCTGTGGGAGGAGCCCACAGCCTCGAACCTCCGCGGCATCGGATGCGCGTTAAGGTTCTGGTTGGGCCCTGGGCCCTAAACCCTAAACCCTAACCCCTACACCCGAAACCCCAAACCCTAAACCCTAACCCCTACACCCGAAACCCTAAACCCCAAACCCCAAACCCCAAACCCTCAACCCTAACCCCTACACCCGAAACCCTAAAACCCAAACCCCAAACCCTAAACCCTAAACCTTAAACCCTTAAGGTTCTGGTTGGGGAAGGGGGTTTGGGAATGGTGAGGAGACCAGATCCTGGTCTGCTTTAAACCCTCCATGAAGCCTCCAAGTAGGTCTTGGGTGCAGCTCGGAGATTCGGGTTCAGGGTTTTGGGGTTTGGGGGTTTTGGGGTTTGGGGGTTTTGGGGTTTTGGGGTTTGGGGGTTTTGGGGGTTTTGGGGTTTTGGGGGTTTTGGGGGTTTTGGGGTTTGGGGGTGTTGGGGTGTGAGGGCTTTAGGGTTTTGAGGTTTTTTGGGGGGTTTTGGGGTTTTTTTGGGGTTTTGGGGGTTTGGGGGTTTGGGGGTTTGGGGGTTTTGGGGTTTGGGGGTTTTGGGGGTTTGGGGGTTTTGGGGATTTGGGGGTTTGGGGGTTTGGGGTTTTGGGGTTTCGGGGTTTCGGGGTTTTGGGGTTTTGGGGTTTTTGGGTTTTTGGGTTTGGGGCGTTTTGGGTTTGGGGTTTGGGGTTCAGACCTTCCGCGGAAACCTCGTGCAAAAGCAACCAAGTAACGCCCTGAAGATCTTGGCCTTTGTTGGTTTTAGGGTTTGTAGAGTTAGAAGCTAAGGGAGCCCTACACCCCAATGCCCCAACAGAACAGTATGCATGCGAAGTCCGAAACCCTAAACCCTGACGCCTAAACCCTAAGCCCTACAATGCCCTAGCTGAGCCCGATACATGTGAAGCCCTTGAAGCTCTTGTAGCCTAAGCCCCTTCACCCTAGACCCTGAAGCCCTGCTCCATGAACCTCCAGTGAGCCAGGTCGCCGACCGTGGTTTGGAGATCGTTCTGCGGGACAAGTCCTGACGCAAGAAGGGTTGGAGTTTGGGGTCTAGGGTTTGGGGTTTAGCTTCATCGGCTTCGCGGTTTGGTGTTCAGGTTCTGGGGGTTGTAGGGGTTTAGGCTTTTGGGGTGTTTGATTCAGGGGTTTAGACAAGCCGAAGCTCCGGACCCTCCTTTGTGGTGCTTTACTGTAACTTTACATCTTTAGCCTTTTTGGGTTTATTGGGTTTCTTAAGAAGGCCGCTAAAAATTAGATTTATAGCTACTGCTAAGAGCAGCCAAGCCTCAATCCTCAAACTTGCAACCGGCATGGATCTTCCGAGCGTCGCGGCAGTGTTTCTCAAGCTGCGCCGGCTCAGCATGCACAGGGTAGCTGACACACCGCACCGGGCCCTTTTGGCACCCTAAACAAACAAAGGAGCTTCTTTTAAAACACGGAGACACCTTGAGCCTAAACCCCCAAACCCTGAAGTAGGAAGGAGCTCGATTCAAGAATATAGATCCCAAAAGGGCCCGTCACACAGATCTACCTCCATGTGTCTCCGCTCTCTCAAGCTGCAGCTCCGTTTGGTTCCCTCGAGTTTGGGATTAGAGTAAACAACAAGGTCCTTGTGCCCAAAACAGGTGAAAAGCCTTAAATAAGGGGGTCTTGGGCCCTTAGGGTAGGGGTTCAGGATCTAAGATCTGGGCCTTTGGGGCCAGGGTTTGAAAAGAACAAATCCCGCCATGACTTGACTTCCAAACCAAGTCCCAAACCCTGCCTAAACCAAAAGCCCTACAGCAGTTTGATGCTGAACACTGAAACCTATATAAACCCTGAACCCTGAATCTTCAACCCCGAACCCCCAAACCCCAAATCCCAAGGAATTTTGAACCCATGGAGGGCACTTTAGGGTTTATAGTTAGGGTTTAGGGTTTAATTATAGGGTTTAGGGTTAAGGGTGTAGGGTTTAGGGTTTGCCAAAGCGCCGCGGTCCCGACCCGCGCCATTGGCCGGCCCTCACCCCCCCCCCCTCCGACGGGGTCGCGCTCAAGGGCTTGTTTGGCCGGGATTTCCCGCCGGTCTCGTACACAAGGTCTCTTCGGACCGCGCCCTTTGCCGCCCTTCCGTGGTGGAAGCAACGGCTTTCCAGCCCAGGCATCCCCCGCCAGTGTCGCGCAAGCCCCGCCCGACTCGGGTGCGAGGGCTGTTGGGCCGGCCCTTCCCCCGGGGTCGCACCCAAGGGCTGTTGGGCCGGGGCCTTCCCACCGAGGTCGTCCCCCGGCACCGCGCGCTGGGCTCGCGGCTCTTCGGGGGGGTAAGGGTGACTCCACAATTTACCCAAAGGCTCCGATGTAGTTCCTTTTTGGGTTGGTTATAGGGGATTCGAGTATGCTACCCCAAAAAGGTACTACAAGGAGCCTTTGGGTATATTGTGGCCCATGGCTAGCAAGGATGCATCAGGCCTGGCAGGCTCGACCTGCCTGGCAGATCTCGAAGCAAGAGCGTTCGGTGGTACTGGCCGCCGCCTGGCGCGGTACCACTTTGAAAGACTTGACAACTTCATCCTACTTCTTGATTGCTTATAACTCTGGCTCTTTTTTTTTTTTGGGGGGGGGGGGATGGTTGTGAGGCCTAACAAACCCCAAGCCCCAAAAAGACCCCAAGCCCTGTACCTGCAAGCTTCTGCGTCACAACCCTGACCAGCGGCTCAGGCCCCATTTTTTCCGGAGTCGCCTTTGACGACACCTTCCTACGCCACACCCACACCCAGGCCACAAACCGCCAGACCTTCAAGGGCTTTAAGGGCCCAAGCCTAAGGGTCCAGGTACCTATATAGTATATACCTTGAGCCCTAAAGCTAGACCGTTTAGGGACCCTTTCAGGCCCAAGTATATATTTTATGGGTACATGGACCCTTTCAGGGGTTTGCCTAGAGGCCCCCAAAGCAAGCGGAAGTAGGTGCCTCCACCCGGTTTTTGGCGTGTCCGAGCGTTTTTTTTGTATTCAGTCGAGCGGCTTTTTGTGCGTTGTTCAGGGACACTCGGAGTTTCGAGCCAGATGGATGCAGGCAGGATGCGCTACTATTTGCTTCAAAACACCAAAAAATCAGCCAATAATATTACAGTTAGTAACAATACTGCCTATATTACCTGGATAAGGAAGAATATTTTCCTGTGCTTTGGGGTGGGGTTTCTTAAGCAACTAGTAGAGCGGGCAGGTAGGCAGATCCCACGTGTTCAACGGAGCTGTGGCCTCGTTTCCAATGATTCTGCTTCTTGGGCTTCGATGCTTGCTGCTTACTTGAAGGTTCAAGGGTAGCAGTTATAAGTAGGGTTAGAAGTACCCCTTTGAAGGTTGTAATGAACCAGAGAAGAATTATACATGCCCTATTTGTAATCCCACTTCTAACTACGCATGAAACTCGCAGTCGGGTTTGGGGTTCAAGGGTTTGGGGCTTGGGGGGGGGGGGGGGGGGGGGGGGGGGGGCTGCCGAGCTCAAAGCCCTGAGCCATAAAACCCTACCTTAAGAACCCAAAACCTATTTCTTTGTAGGCTCTTACCATAAAGGGTTCCTAAGAATGACCCAAAAGTGTATCATGAGTATAGGGTACAATTGAGGGGCTCGCTCGAAACCCGACACCCTAAACACTAAGCCCTAAACCCTAAACCCTAAACCCTAAACCCTAAACCCTAAACCCTAAACCCTAAACCCTAAACCCTAAACCCTAAACCCTAAACCCTAAACCCTAAACCCTAAACCCTAAACCCTAAACCCTAAACCCTAAACCCTACTCCCTCTTTGGGGGGTTCTACTTTTTGGATCCCTCGAGGGGTCTGGGTAGGCTTTGGATTCCTAAGGCAGCAACCGGCCCTACTTCGGGACCTTCAGTCTGCAAACTGAATGTCTTAGGCCTAGCCCTAAGCTGCAAAGTCCTACAGCACTCCCCGTGACAGTAGGGTTGCGCGCATGACCTCCTAACCCTAAGCCCTAGGCTAGGCTACTTGCGGAGGGCTTTGGGGGGCCTCGGGCTAGATCCCAAACCGCAAGAAGCCCCAAGAACCCCTAAGCTCTAAGAACCCCGAAGCCCTAACGAACCCCGAACCCCCGCTATCCCTAAACCCTAAACCCTAAACCCTAAACCCGAAACCCTAAACCCGAAACCCTAAACCCTAAACCCTAAACTCCAAGAACCTTTGAAGGCCCCGCTGCGAGGAGGTTCGCATCGGTTCCAAGGGGCCAGGAAAAAAGCGGCTCAGGGTTCGTTGGGTTTAGGATGGTTAGGGTTTAGGGTTTAGGGTTTAGGGTTTAGGGTTTAGGGTTTAGGGTTTAGGGTTTAGGGTTTAGGGTTTAGGGTTAGGGTTTAGGGTTTAGGGTTTAGGGTTTAGGGTTTAGGGTTTAGGGTTTAGGGTTTAGGGTTTAGGGTTTAGGGTTCAGGGTTCATGGTTCAGGGTTCAGGGTTTAGGCTTTAGGGTTTAGGGTTTAGGGTTATATATTTGCCTTTCTGAGTGTTCAAGGTTTATCCCTGAACCCTCAACCCTGACCCCTAAAAACCCTAAACCATCAACCCTAACTGTTCGGTATATTCACCCTTTTTAGAGGTACAAGGTTACTCTAAGTCACCTACAGGCAAGCCCTAAGTTCCTATGAATGATAGGAAGCCCTCAGCCACGCCCTTCAACAACCCCAAGAGCCCCAAAACCCTCAGCCCCCCTCCCCCCAAACAAAATACATCAAAACAGGTGACTATGAAGGCCCATTCGGTTTTAGGGTTTAGGGACCCGAAACTTTAAACCTTAAACCCTAAACCCTAAACCCCATTAAAAACCCTAAACCCTGAACCGTTAGGGCCTTTAGGGTTTAGGGTTTTGCCCTCAACCCTTAGCCACGTCCTCTACAAATCTGTTGTGGCCTGCCCTGAGACTCTTAAACTTTATGGTGGTTGTGGCGGCTTCGGACCCTAAACCCTAAACCCTGGACCCTATAAACCCTAAACCCTAAACCCTAAACCCTAAGCCCTAAACCCTAAAACCTAAACCCTAAACCCTAAACCCTAAACCCTGCCGTCCTTCCTCGGCTTAGGGTTCATAGGGCCTGGGGTTTAGGGTCGTAGTATGGTTCCTGGGCGCAAACCGACCGACCCCGAAACACAAGAGCCCCGACAGCCTTAGGCGCCCCCCCCTCAACTTCCCGGAGCCCTAAACAACAAAACTTCTTGGCTCATCCGGAACCCCGAAGACATGCAAACCGTAGAATCTACACTGGCGATTTAGGGTTTAGATTTTTCGGTGCTACAATCCCGAAAACCCCCCCAGGTTCCCCCCCGCCCTAATGACAATTAAGGCTATTTAGGGACAATTAAGATGCAAGGCGGGGAGCCTGGGGGGGGGTAGTACCGGGGGGATACCCATGACTTTTGCTGGGCAGGACGACGCCGAATTCGTCACAAAGGCACGTGGCGGCTTGCTTACCACGCTCGGTCTCTGGCTTCGTCTTCGTTGGCTTAAAGGGTTCTAAAGGGAAGGGGGGGTCACGGGGGGGTAGGTACCTAGGGAACCTTCCTAACTTCCCTTGGGGAGTAGGGGGGAACATTAGGGAACCTTGGCATTACATACCCCCTTGAACCGCCTCTCTTAAGAACCCTATAAACCACGCTCGGGCTCGGGCTTCGTTGGACGGGTGGGTGTCTAGGGTTTCGGTGGCTTGGGGTTTGTAGGGTGTTAGGATGCTTGAGGACTTTAAAGGGTTTAGGGTTTCGGGTTTACGGTTTAGGGGACGTTGGTTTGGGGGCGGATTTTGTTCTGGCGTGTTTCGCCTTAGACCGGAAAACCCACAACCTGCAACGATTGCGGTACAGCCCGAAGCCCTCAACCCTACACCCTGAACCCTGCTCTCGAAGCACCAAAGCCTGAGCCCTAAACATAAAACCCTAAGCCCCAAACCCCTTGTCGCCCGCAAGCATCCAAAACCCCTATAGGCCCTATAAGCCTTGCAAGCTTTGTAAGCCCTATAAGCCCTATAAGCCCTATAAGCCC